CTTCCAAGGCTGGTGGCATGGTAGAGGGGCATGATGAAGGAGAAATGGTTCATGGCAGAGGAGATGGAAAGTAGCAAACAACAAGCCTCCTTTTCCCTTTTATTCTATTCAGGCTACAAACCTTTTGGGTGGTACTACCCACACCCAGGGTGGGCCTTCTATTATCCATACCTAGAATGATGCTAAACCAATCAGTGGACTAATTTAGTTATCACACCTTTAATTCATATTTACACACCCTAGATCCAGCCACCTCTGGAAAGCCCCACCTATGTGCACATGAGGCTTTGAGTGGACATCTCATATGGATACAAGCCATAACAGTAACATTTCATGCTGGTACTTCAACAACTCCAGACTGTATGACATTTCTATTGCTCTCCCTTTATTGATATTTATCTTTCAATGCTTATGTTGGTCCTACCATATTTAAACATTTTAAAAATAGTTCCAACATGAAATTTGATTTCAAATACAAATAAAGTCAGCTTGAGTTTGTACTCATGGTGAGCCTTTTTTCACTCATGTCTAAAATAAGAATTTTGATATAAAATTTTAATGAATGTGAATGTTCAAGGTTAAGGAACATGTCTTGTTTATCTTTGTGTCCTCACTATCTAGAATAGCACAAGCACTAGAAGTTATCCAATATGTTTGTGAACTAAACCAAGCTGCTGGGTAATATTGGTGAACTCTCCAAAGAGCTTGGAGGACGCCACTCTTCTTGTTCTATTGAATTTCCATCTGAACCTTCTATTCTGACCATGGACTAGAAAGAACTGTGAAGTAAGATTTACCTAGACTCACTTTTGAGCCTTTAATTTAACATAAACAGGTCCTTAAAGGAAAGTATTTCTCTACCGTTTAGTAACAAGCTATGTTTAACGACACACAATTCAAATTTCTAAGTGATCAAGAATATAAAATAAAATTAAATATCATTAAATATGTATTTTTTGTTGGCTTTATAAAGAAGCAGAAGTGCTTTACGGATGGTACATATTCTAAAGGAACTTATGCAGTAGTTGTAGGTGGCAAATAAACACTATTATTTGTTCAAGACTCTAGGAAGAATGGGAGAAAGGGAAAGAGAAACACATTAGATAAAGAGAAGCAGCCTAGCATAGTAATGAGAACCACGGGCTTGGAAGCAACATTGCTTGGGTTTGAATTGTGAACTCCATTTTGCTGGTGACTTTTAATGATTACTTAATCTCTTTGTGCTTCTTAAAATGTTGACAACACCTGTTTCAAGGGGCCGTACTTAGGATTAAATGAGTTAGCACAGCACAAAATAAGTGCTGATTATTATTATTATTATTATTGTTACAGGCAGCCCCCCGTTACCATGGTTAGACTTACAACTTTTCAACTGTATGTTGATATGAACAATGTGAACTTACAAGAAACCATATTTTGAGTTTTCATCTTTTCCCAGATTTCCAGTATGTACTACATGACAACTGTGATCAGGAGCTCTTAGGCATACAATCATGAGGCATACAATCATAAACAACTGATCCTCCCTAGTGTGCTATGTTGCTAAGCTATGGTGTTCAGTTGGCTAGGTATATAAAATGCATTTTCACTGAGTGTGGTGGTACATACCTGTAAAACCAAAACTTGGGCGGCTGAGGCAGGAGGATTGCCATGAGGTCAAGGCCAGCCTGGGCAACATAGTGAAGTTAAGGCCAGCCTCAACTACATAGTGGGACCCTGTCTCAACAAAAAGCATTTTATTTTCATCTCCTAACTTTCCTGCTTCTTCCAATGCTTAGTCTTACTTGCAAAAGTTCTACTTTCATCATTTTTCCCCTTTTCACCCACTCTCTGTACCTTCCTTACCCCTCCCTCCATCTCTTGTTCCCCTATTTATTTGAAAAAAGACCTCCCTATTTCCTATTTATGTTCTATATTGTTTTTTATTTATGTATCTATTTTTTGATTATCTGATATGAGACAAAAAAGAAAGTAAGTTGGGATGTGTTATGTACACGTATCAACTCCGACAGTAACTGTAATCATTATGTACTGCAAACACGTTCTAATAAGAAGTAAAATGCAATGTCAACTTGGAAAAAATTCACCTTTTGATGCGTTTATAGGGATGTAACCTCACCATAAGTTGAAGAGCACGTGTATTACTATTATTGTATACACAGACTTTGAGTTTAGTCTTTGAAGAACTCAAAACAGTGGGGCCAATGTCTATATTACAACAGTGACAGAAAGGGCAAACAAAAAGTTAGAGGTAGATAGAGAAGGTTACTGAGTGCCAAACATTTGGATTTTACTTTGTAATAGGGAACCACTGTAATTTTTAAATAGGTAAGTGGCATTCTAAAAACAGCATTTTGGTCTACTTTAAACAGACTACAGAATTATCTGGATATCAAGACAATAAAAGACTGAAAGAGTAGAATAATGATAACAGCAAACTAATTAGATGTTTTTCTGGAACTCTGCATGGTGTTTGCAAGAAATATGAATTATAAATATTGTTATTCTGTAGGCAACACACTAATCACATTTGTGGGGTATCTAATTTAATTCTTAACACAAACCTATTAGATAATACTCTAATAAGTACCCTTTTATTGCTAATGATGCCAAGGCTTAGAAAGATTAAAATGAATTCCCTAGGACAGAGCTAGTAAGTGGCAGTAAACATGATCTATATTCAAGATGTCTCACTCCAAAGAGTCCAGTGGAAACCAGTAAATGAAAGGTTATTCACACAAAAAGACAAATTATGATTTGATGTTTGATTGGATATAGGCTAAAGGAGAGGATTATCAGCAGCCGAGATTTCAAGCATTGAAAGTCACACAACAATGACTTGAGTGTGGTTACATTAAATAACCATATGGAAAAATAGAAAAATTTGTTCAGAGGAAAAAGAAATTGTGACTGAAATGCTCAAAGGCATTTGGATGAAAAATGCCCTAATGGTTGAAGGCTTGGGCAAAGTGAGGGAACTAGGTGGGTGGGGCAGGAATGTATATACTTAGGGCTAGACAACAGTAAAGAAAGGAAATGTAGACACCAATGAGGAGCCCAAACCACGTTTTCGCGTTTGCTGTTGTCAATTATCAGTCCCTTAAAATATACTCCGTAATATTTAGAATGTAGCAATGTCAGGTGACTTGATTGAATTTGATGTATTTGAAATGGGGAGCCGATTTTTTTGCCTTGGGGGGCATTTAAAAGTTTGGTTTTAATAGGGGTCGCAAAAGGAGACTGAATTTTCCTTATCTCTTCACTGGGTTCACTTTCAGATAGTGTGCTAGGTAGCTCCAAGCCCCTCTACCTCAAACCCTTAACTAAATTTGAGGTGTGGGCCTCTTACTTGCAAAATTTATGCGAGAAATCTCAAATACGAAACAGATAAACTTGGATGGTAATGCTTCGATATTCCATCTCTGATGGCTGGACTTGTAAGTGTGAGCGAATAAACTAGGCAGGTGCACAATCAGGTCTACGAAGTTGAATGCAAATGACAGTCTTAACTATTCTGAGTAAAACGAGAAGGCCCCGAATACAATCAGTTGTGGCGGCACACTATTCTTATAAAGGTCCTGCTGGCGTTAGGGAGCTCGGCTACATCAGGTAAGAAAACAGTTCGTCTAGCTAGGAGTTGGGAGGTTCCACTGGCTTTAGAGGAACGAGGTACTAGGCCCCTGCCAAGAACACCAACATATCCGCAATGCGCTTGCTCAAACCGCAGCAGCCTATCTCTGGAAACACTGCATAACAGAAGGATTAAAAAAAAAAAAAAAAAAAAAAAAAAAAGCAGCAGCAGCCGGTGTCGAGGGAAACTGGAACCCGACGCAGAAACACAGCGCACGTTGCTTGAAAGGTTCTATCAATCACGCTACCTCGTCAGCCTGTAACTCCCAGCATTCTCTTCTCTCAGGACAGCCAGTGAGAAAGCTACAAGTTCCTGTAGCCAATCACAGCCTGACCCAGTATATCGCACGATGGAATTCTGGGATTTGTGGTTTTCACGTGGTTACAGTACATCATGGAGGGTTAAGGCCACGCGTCCGGTTCGACAAGAAAGCTCCGTTTTATACTTCTGTTGGCCTGCAGACCAACTCCCTATCATCACTTCCGGTCCTTACCTGCCTTCCAAACCAGAAACTTGTCCCAAAGTCAGACTGAAGAAAAAAAAATGAATCTACTTTTAAATTAAGACACGCTTCGCACACGCTTCCGCCGTCCTTTAACCGTCGCTCTGAGTATCGCGAGAACCCGCCCTGCAGTCATCACCGCCCCTCCTGGAAGGCGGGTCACGCGAGGACTGACAGAGCCCTCCGCCAATAGCGTTCCGCCCTGCCCGGCGCCGGCGCGGCGTGCGCGGAGGCCGCCGTGAACCCCCGCCGCGGCGCGCAG